GCCACCTTCAAAACCTTTCAAAACCGTCTTCTCCTGTAATCCTGGAAAGGGGCCCTTATGAGGTGCTACCAGCCGGGCCGACTGGACCAAGGTTTTTTTAAGGAGGTGTTACTCCTCCATCACTCACCCTTTGTCCTGGCTTGTGACAGGCAGAGCCTGGCTTCCCAAATGTTGGGCCCAGGATGGCGGGTTTTTCTCAGCCATGGGAGCCTGAAATATGCAGGCTACATGGTTATTAGCATCACCCCCTAGAATCAGACATGACTGGACTGGACAATTTTACCTTAGCTTATTAAGCAACCACTGTATTTGGGGGGAACATGTCAGGGGTGATGAAGCCCGTCAAGGAAGGAGACACCAAGCATCCTTCCACCAACACAGACAGGACAACCACTAGCATATAAAATAAGAGCAACCACCTACTCCCCTCTAGCACTGATGATGTTATCTAATCTGGTAATGAAACATCTACAAAGAAACCCACCAAACTCAGACAGAACTGAGGGTTCCACACACCAAAACAGGATTGTATGATCCTACCTCGGGGGCAGATTCAGGTAGAGAAAGCATTGCTTTCTTTCACGAGGTGTAAAGCTGCTTTCAACATAGCCAAAGTCTTTGGGATAAGGAGGCCTGTAAAGTGTCAGCAAGAACAATGCAAAACGGAGCGGACGTCAAATAAATCTATAATAAAGACGCAGAGGGGTGATTTTAATTAATGTTACTGATGGCAAAACTTGAACTAGAAGCCGGGATGCTTTCTGAAATAAATAGTGTAATCTTGAGAACGTTTTCTAAACACCTGCCAGCTTGTATTGGTTTTTAATAGCTCATTATGCGGTTTGCATCTAACAAGCTCATTCAAATGACAGTTGAGCTGATAGAGGACAAGCTGTTTAATCACTGGCAATTTCATTCCTAAACTGATGTAATGTGATGGCTCCAGGGTTTTTGGGGGGTGGAGGGATGGGCAGGACTTGGGCAGGGCAGAACACATATACATATATATTTTTCTCCAGAAAAATAAAGCCACGTGCTTTTGATTACTCTCATGAAATAGATTTTACTCTAAACACTCGCAAACATGAATTACGAGAGCTGGCTTTCTCAGATAACTAAGATGCTGGGCTACAGATATTGGACCTACAAGGAAGGGGAGGCGGAATTGAAAATTGTTCCTCTTAAGCCGTTATTGTCAAAGGGTAAGAATGTAAAATAGGGACACATTGGCTCGGTTGCTAAGATGCTGTGCTTGTCAATCAGAAAGGTCGGCAGTTCGGCGGTTCAAATTCCTAGCACTGCGAATGGAGTGAGCTCCCGTTCCTTGTCCCAGCTTCTGCCAACCTAGCAGTTTGAAAATGTGTAAAAATGCACGTACAAAAATAGGAACCACCTTTGGTGGGAAGGTAACAGCGCTCCATGCTCCTTCGGTGTTTAGTCATGCCGGCCACATGACCACGGAGACAGCTTCGGACAGTGCTGGCTCTTTGGCTTTGAAACAGAGATGAGCACCCCCCCTAGAGTAGGGAACGACTAGCACCTATGTGCGAGGGGAACCTTTACTTTTTTACCTTAAGAATATAAAACAGGCACTGTCTACTTGCTGATATTGTCATGCATTTAATGAGTCAGCTAACTTAGGAGTTGCATGCACACAACACGACAAGCTTGGATAATTTTGATTGGTTTGGGATTATAATGTGGGGGAAAAAACCAGCCTATCTGGTTTATCAATAGTGTGTTAGGGCAAACCCAACCAATGTTTTGTGTTCCAACTTGTGGTTTTAAGAGAGCTTCTTAGAATTGCCAGCTTCGACATGAAACAACTGACCGCCTTCTAGGATCATATGTTGATAAAGAAGAGAATAGTTTGCTTATTTTGGGTGTGGACAACACGTTTCACTGAATAAATCATATGGTCTTAAGCTAGAAAGTCCTAAAGTTTAAGTCTGTGATTCTTCTCCTTTCCCCACCCCAAGTATCATCTCTATCCAAGTGGTTGTTGATAGCTTGGAGCACCTTGGTGGTATTGAAGAGATGGTTGTAATCTTTCTCAACAGACATGGGTACCATGCAATTAATTAAGGGACGTGGTGGCCCAGTGGCTAAGACACTGAGCTTGTCGATCAGAAAGGTCAGCAGTTCGGCAGTTCGAATCCCTAGCGCCACGTAATGGAGTGAGCGCCTGTTATTTGTTCTAGCTTCTGCCAACCTAGCAGTTGGAAAGCATGTAAAAATGCAAGTAGAAAAATAGGAACCACCTTTGGTGGGAAGGTAACAGTGTTCTGTGCGCCTTTAGCATTTAGTCAGGCCAGCCACATGACCATGGAAACGTCTTCGGACAGGATTGGCTCTTCAGCTTTGAAACGGAGATGAGCCCCCTAGAGTTGGGAATGACTAGCACACATGTGCGAGGAGAACCTTTACTTTTTACCGTGCAATATCTAAAATCTTTTCTTTTTTTCCCTTTTAGGTCTAAGAGGAGGAATAAAAAACCCCGTAAATATGATATTATTACAACTCCAGCAGAACGGGTGGAAATGGCTCCCTTAAATGAAGAGGATGATGAAGATGAAGATTCCACAGTGTTTGATATAAAATATAGGTAGGGAGAAAGAGGGATGGATACACAAGTCTGGAGATTATTGGGGGAGCTTCATTTTGGGGCTATTCCTTGATCTCAAGGAAAGACACAGCTTCATTAAGGAGATGCCCTTTGAATGGGATTCACTGTAGGGCCCCTGATGGACATCAGGGTAGGATCCGTTACCGTATTTTGCAGACTATAAGACACATTTATTTCCCCCTAAAAGAGAGTGAAAATTTGGGTGCATCTTATACACCAAGTGTAGCCCAGCCTCCACCCTTTGGCCTCTGCCTCCCAGGAATTTGCCTCCTTGCAGCAAACAGCCTGTTTCAGTTTCAGCACAGCCTGATTAGCACAAGCAGCTGATGGTCGGTTGGATTGGCCTCCTGACCATCAGCTGTTTCAGGGATTGCCATTGCCTATTGCCTCCATGCACCACGTTTTTGGCCCCTGTGTACCCCATTTTCCTCTCATTCCGATCCCCGCCGCCACCTGGAATGGGCGGAAATTGGGGCGTGCAGAGGCAGCAATCCCTGAAACAGCTGATCATCAGAAGGCTGAGCCAACCAACAATCAGCTGCTTGTACTAATCAGGCTGTGGTGCAGTTGAAATTGAAACAGGCTGTTTGCTGCAAGGAGGCAAATTGCTGGGGGGCAGAGGCAGAGGTAGATTTTTTTCTTGCTTTCCTCCCCAAAAGCTAGGTGCATCTTATACTTCGGGGCATCTTATACTCTGAAAAATATGGTATTTATATCAACCCAGACAAATGGTTGTGCAGTCTCCTCTGAAGAATATCCAGTGATGGAGCATCCACAACTTCTGACCGTAAGGCGTTCCACTGATGAATTGTTCTCACTGCCTGGAAGTTTCTCCTTTTTTTTAAGGTTAATTCTCTCCTTCATAAGTTTCCACCCATTGCTTCTTGTCCTGCCTTCAGGTATTTTGGAAAATAGCTTGACTCCCTCTTCTTTGTGGCAGCCCCTCAAATATAGGAACACTGCTATCATGTCACCCAGTCCTTCTTTTCATTAGACTAGACCAAGGGTCAGCAACCCACAGCTCTGGAGATGCATGTGGCTCTTTCATCCCTCTGCTGCAGCTCCCTGTCACCAGTCAGCACGACAATTTTGGGAGAAGCTTCCAGTTGAGAGGGGGGAAAGCACAATGTGCCAGGAGGAGACTTTATGGCAAGGAGCATGTTTTCTGGTCAGCTCCACAATTGATAGGGGTTTCAGTTAGGACAGATAGGGGGAAAAGGATGCCGTGCTAGGAGGAGATTCTATGGTGGGGGGACAGGACTTCCGGTTGGCTCCAGAATTGAATAGGGGGCTTCCAGTTAGGACCTTTGTGGCTCTTTGAGTGTTTAAGGTTGCCGAGCCCTGGATTAGTCCTACTCCATTCCTGCAACTGTTCTTCCTATGTTTGAGCTTCTAGGCCCCTAGCCATCTTTGTAGCTGTTCTCTGCACTCTTTCTAGAGTCTCAACATCTTTTTTATATCCTGGTGACCAAAACTGGGTCTAATATTCCATAGACTTACTAAGGTAAGGCCTTAGTAAGCCAAGTAGAGCCAAGATGGCGCAGTGGTTAGAGTGCAGTACTGCAGGCCACTTCAGCTGACTGCTATCTGCAGTTTAGCGGTTCAAATCTCACCGGCTCAAGGTTGACTCAGCCTTCCATCCTTCCGAGATGGGTGAAATGAGAACCCAG